TCGGGAGCTTCATCCCAAGTTGTGGGTCTTATCAGAGTGTCTTTTTTATTTAAAAAAAAAAAAAAAGGCAGTGAGGACCCTTTCAGGCTGTGAAGTTCCTTTGAAGTCATGATAATACAAGAGTGCTCACCCTTCCATTCCCTGGAGGAATTGCCCCAAAGCCTTGGTAAGGCAGACTCACACCGATGAAGGCAAAGATAACAAGATGAAAATCCCCAGTCAGATTCCATCTGTGGCAATGCTGGATTAGCCTGGCTTTGAGTCACCACAACACCAAGTCGCTGTTTACGAGGCAGCAGCCAACATTGGACAGCCTTGGGTAAATGCAGTGCTGGCACGCTCAAGGGCCCTTCTTCATGTTTTGTATCAGCCTCTTCTGAGAAGAAAGAGGAATATTCAATTAACTTGTGCGGTTGCAGCTTCAGGTGTTGTTCCCCTTGTTATTATTCAAAAGCTTTCTTCTTTGTCTCAAGGGTTAGTGAAACCAGGTGTGGATCTCACTTTTTGGCATAAACCAAGCTTGCGTATGCATATGTGTGTGTGTGTGTGTGTGTGTGTGTGTGTGTGTGTGTGCGCATGCACGTACCTAGAAAACAAACAACTCTTGCAAAGACTGGGACAAATAAGGATTACTTGCAACCAAACAAACACAAACAGATGCTCAAAAAGCAGTAGTTCTGGATAATATTGAAAATCCGTTCAATTTTGAACAAGACATTAGCATAGATGATATTTCAAGTCCACACCCCTTTTGCCATGGCAGATTTTGCCCCCCCTTACGAGTGGCGATATGGTGGTGGAATTTATTATTTTTTAATGCTGTGTGGTTATGGTTGTTATTAGTCGAGAAAAGTAACAGCAGCAATATGTTCTATCGAGCACACAGCTGTCAGACTCCAATCTATCTTTTCCAGTTCCCTCGGCAAAAAAACAAATGTGTACAGCTGCATTATCAGATTTTTACAATGAAAGGTTCTATTAGGGCCAATTACACCGTGTCTACAACGGACATGACAGCTAAAGTCGGTCTACACTGGACATGCCAAAGCGACCATTGTGAACCATTTGTACTTTGTTTCAGTACGTCATAAATAGAACGAGGCATCAGCTACTGTTGGTGATTTGTCATGTCGTGTCGCATCACTAATTATAATGAATTGTACTGTCTTTTGTCGCACCACTCGCGTCCGGTGTAGACACGGTGTTAGGACCCGAATCCTCACAGTCAAAATGAAAATGTTACTAACAGACCGACATGAGCATTTATCCAGTGCTAGGTATAAGAAAGCATCTATCTTCTGATCTATTAAAACAGTAAAAGGTCATGTTACATATGCATCACCTAATTTATAAATAACATAACATTCATGACTTAAGACCGTGATGCAATTTTGTGATGTCATAACCAGCATGTCTGTGCCCTTAACTCTTTTTAAAATGTGATGCTGATAGACTTCAAGTAAAGTGAGGGCCACTGGAAGCTAGAGGGGTCAAACTGAAGTTTTGAAAAGCAGAGAGACACAGTATGTGTAGCAGTAGAGTCAGGTTGTGCTGTCGGAGCTTGATATTAGAGTTGGCAGAAAATAGGCTGGCAAGGTCAGTGCAGGTGAAAGCAGAGGGAGACAGACAGTTAAGTCCTTTCACTGAATTCCAATGTTACAGACACACACTTACAGAAAAACACACAAGACGACAAACTACTATTTTAAAGGTATTTTCCATATAAAAGGTGCGGATAACAGTGGCTACCACTGCAACGTGAAACATTTTAATTGACGTTCAGTGGCCTAAAAAAGTATTTGGATATTTAAGCCACACTTATGCACTGTATAAAAGTAATTGCACTGCACAGTAAAATACAAAAGCAAGGGCATTTATTTCTGAGAAATATATCAAAAGTAATTAAAAAAATAATTAAGAAAGAATGTTTGCGAAAACCATTATTTGTTTGTATATTTTGTATATAATGTAATTGCATGTGCAGTGTTATAGTGACTTGCATGTCCAAAGGTATGCAAATAGATCTGAGGGTCAGGAGTTTGTGGTAAGGTATTCTTTTTGAGTCTTTTCAAATTATTTCAGACTTTCGGGTGCATTCACGTCCATGGACTCTTCATAAAGGGTTCTGTATTCAGGTAAAAGATAAGAGGTCCATTTACATCCTTTCATTACAATCCCATAACAATTTATGGATTCTACATTGATTCAGATATTCCCTTTTATTTCATAACCTGAAGCATGCTTCATAAATGATGAATACTGCCAGTCAATTCAGTCCATTGATGAAAGATTAATGAGCATGCACTATTTTTTGTTCGAAAGAAAAATGCCTTCAAGAAGAAAACCATGGTAATACAAGAGGACAAACATTTTTTGTGATGGTATGGATTATCTACTGGACTATAATGAGACAAAAGCATGCAAAAGCAAATGAATTAAATAAATAATGCAGGTGTGATGTTATTGCTTTGGCACAGAATAAACAAACATAAATACTGTTCGACCCAAAACAGCCGTTAATGCAATGTGTAAACCCACCTTTGAGGACCGGGCAATCATTTCCAGGTGTGTGTAACCACAAAGAATTATTCATAGATCCTGGCAAATCGGCCTTACTGCTAGAGTGCAAACAGACCTTTTTTTCTTTTCCACTCACCGTTAAGCTCTGAAATGAGTCGTTGAAGGAGAGGACAGGAGGAGCTTTGGCACAGAGATCCAGGCATCAGCATGCAGCCAGAGGTTGCTCGTACACTCCCCGATCAGCATTCATGCCGTGAATGAACATCAGGCCAGTAAGGAAACTGACAGCGGAAAATTCAGTTAATCTCCGCAATCTGCAAAGCAAATCAAGAACATAAATTGTGATTAAATCGAAACAAAGCACTGTTTTATTTTTGGTTGAAAAGAACCTGACAGGAAAAAAGCTTTTGTAGGGATGCATTTGTCAGGGTAGTGACAGGATACTATATTTCATGGGTCAAATCACAGGCTGGTGTCAAAATATGTCTTTTAGCATGTGTTGCCATTATATTCTTTGTTGCCAAGATAGCAGCTTGCACAATCCATTGTTAAGGTCAATAAAAGATGATTATTATGAACAGGAAGCTTTCAGAGTGACATGGAAGCATGTGTCAGATCAATTCTCATTTGTGCAGGCTTTTTAATAAATCAAAAACATACAGCTACAACTACCATAGTTTCAGTCACAAACAAATGATTCTTCTGAGCCAGTCCTTTTAATGAATCACCGAGTAATTAACACTGGGATAAGTCAGACATATCCTTCAAGGAATGAACTCCAGTTCAGAGAATCTGTTATGATGTTTATATATAAGCAAAATGGAAATTATAACTGAAATATGCCCAAATGAAACAGAATCAATAAGCTTGTGGCATCAAATTGAACTGAATAAGGAAAACTATCAATACCCAGCCCTAATGGCAGCTAAGAGGTGAAAAATAGTACCTGCAAGATGGGACCACTTGTTGCCTGGCACCACAACAGCCGTTTCCTTCCGGAGGTAAATGAAGGTGCTCATCATTGGCCTCCTGCACTTATTTTGTCTTGCCTTGTGTGTTTCTTTCTGCCCAAAGTGAGAGGAAAATTCAGTCAGAAAAAAGATTAGTTGGTGAACCTCAGCAAATGCATTATTCAGTATGCGCAAGCGAGCAGCCCACATGCAAACGTCTCCATTCACCTCCCATTAGGGGCACTCAAGACACCCTCACAACTCATTACGACGCAGACAGGGAACCGACAGTACGCAACACATCCCAGGACCAACTGGGCCAAGGTAACAGGGTGCATCATGAGGGCCAAGCTTCTGCTTGAGAAGGTGACTCTTTGTAAATGAGCTTGAAGGTGAAGTGCACATGCTGATGGCTGGCGGGGGAGAGCTCAGGGCTGTGCTCACATGGGCCTGTTGATAGCTATGGATCGTTCTTCTATCCTTCCATGCAAGTGCGCATATATGAGAGGAAGCACAACTAGTCTCTGGACCGGCAGGTAGACCCCTGGGGGACAAAAGAGAGACAGAGAGAACATTAGAACTAATTGGGCATTCAGGAGAAGGATGGATTACTGTGGCAGAGCTTTGAGGAAGGGAGGAAAAGGGTGGATGCTACAATCAGAGCAAGTACTCCTGTCGTTTTACCTTGTAGATATGGTGTCTAATTGAAACATGAGTATTGCATTGGTGCTGTGATGTTGTCTAGACTTATGTGCTGTGGTCTCATAAACCCAATGAAGCAAAATACAGTATGGCATGTAGGTGAGAACATATACTAATAACAAAAACTAAACCAGACCATGAAGCATTGCAATTTATATAATAATACTGCATTAACTCCCAATCTGGTGCTCTGAAAGTAAAGTATGAAAAAGGTTTCAACTCCTCTCCAAAAGTATAGAAGCTCTAAATCCAAAGTAGACAGCTGAAAGATTTCCTCCACACACCGTGTCACAATGTTTAAACAAAGTAGGTTAGACCAGTCAGAGTTTCCTCCCTTAATGCATTTTTATGTCCCCTCTGAGTCCACGTCTTGTGAATTTAGCCAAAAACATGTCATATTTTCCCCATTCCTTACAAGCCTCCAGCATATGAGTAATACCAGGTCCCTGATTATTTGCAGAGCTAAATCCTAAGCCATGAATTAGACTCACTAAATTTCAGCCTGCATTTCTCTCATATTTTCACAGTAGTATTTTTCCTCAATCCACGAGACTTGAAGTGAAATTCAGCTGGAATGTCCCAAACATTTAGAGGAGCTCTTTACAAGAGAAATATACAAGTTGAGAAGCATGCAAAGTGTTTTGGTTATTGAAAAAGGACAATTGTGAACAAAGTTGTTGGAAACAAAGTGAGACATAATAAATAAAGCAGCAGACGTCATACTCAGCATGCGTTGATCTAACAAAAGAAGTTTAGAAATTTCATGATATAATTCTTGGGTAATCTCTCCTGTGACTAAGTGTTGTATTTTTTTTTTTCCTTTTCCAGGTGTGCCCCTAAACCAATCATAAAACCTACTCTACTGTGCTAGGATGTAAGATCAATGGAGTGAGACTGGAGAGAATTACATCCATCCGAAGAAGACAGAAAAGGGATTTTGAGATACTCGTGCGACTACTTCACAAGACAGGATATGAAGAAACAGAGCATGCTTCATCTTTGAGACAATTTATTTTTCAAAATTCAACTAAACCCTTGGTTCTCCTGTCACATGAACTTAAGAGATAAGTGAGAGACTGATATTAATAACGGACTGAAAGTCTACATCACAGTGAATCTGCATTAAATTATATCAGTTTAATTATGAAAATGGGACAGATTGCAATATTTCTTCTGCACACGCATCTGCTGCTTGGAGTCGGAAGCTCCCTGGTCATTCAGTCCATGCCCTGGAGAGTGCCCTGCCCTCACCAGTGTGTCTGCCAAATCAAGCCCTGGTACTCTCCCCAGTCTGTGTACAGAGAGGCTCCTACAGTAGACTGCAATGACCTGCTACTTATCCAGCTGCCCACTTCCCTCCCTCAAGAGACACAAACCCTCCGGCTGCAAAGTAACCTCATCAGTTCTGTCGACCAGAGTGAACTCCAGGGTCTTGTCAATCTGACAGAGTTGGATCTCTCCCATAACAGCTTTACCAGTACCCGGACCCTGAGGATAACTGACCTGCCAGCTCTTCTCAGCCTACACATGGAGGAAAACCAGCTGAGACACCTCCCAGAAGCAGCTTTCTTTGGTCTCCCTAGCTTGCAGGAGTTGTACCTCAATCACAACAGGCTTCGAAGCATCTCCCCTGGGGCCTTCAAGGGTCTGGATAAACTTCTAAGGCTTCATCTCAACTCTAATCGATTGGTTGTAATTGACCGGCGTTGGTTCCATGCTTTGCCACAATTGGAGGTTCTCATGATTGGTGGAAACCCTGTGGACACTATTCAGGACCTACATTTTAAACCGCTGAGCTCTTTGCGCAGTCTAGTCCTGGCAGGCATGGGCTTGCGTGAGATCTCAGAGCGAGCGCTAGAAGGGCTTCAAAATTTGGAAAGCATTAGCTTTTATGATAACCATCTAATAAAAGTTCCAAAAGAGGCATTGCAAAAGTTGCCGGGTCTGAAGTTCCTTGACTTGAACAAGAATCCCATTCAGCTAGTGCAGAGGGGAGACTTTCAAAATATGCTTCACCTGAAAGAGCTTGGCTTAAACAACATGGAAGAGCTGATCTCTATTGAGCACTCAGCAATGGAAAATTTGCCTGAACTGACCAAACTGGAGATCACAAACAATCCACGGCTCTCCTATATCCACCCTCAGGCCTTCCAAAAGTTGTCAAGTATGGAAAGTCTAATGCTGAACAGTAATGCCTTGAGTGCCCTGCATAGCCAGACAGTAAGGTCGCTGCCCAGACTTCAAGAAATCAGCTTGCACACCAATCCTATTCGCTGTGACTGCCTGATCCGCTGGGTGGGAGCCGACAATGACAAGCCGGTCCGTTTCATTGAGCCTCAATCCACATTCTGCTCTGAGCCTCCTGAGCTTAAAGCCCGACGAGTTAAAGAAGTCTCATTCAGAGAGATGGCAGACAGCTGCCTACCCTTGATTGCCCCAAGCACATTCCCCTCTAACATTGAAGTCAAACATGGAGACAACATAGCCTTGCACTGTCGGGCACTGGCAGAGCCAGAGCCAAGTATCTACTGGGTCATTCCCCAAGGTGTGAGATTGACTCCATCCAGCAGCTACGGGCGTTATCAGGTTCTCACAGAAGGCACGTTAGAGATTTTTGGAGTCACTGCTGAAGAGGCCGGATTCTACACTTGTGTCGCACAGAACCTAGTGGGAGCTGATACTAGAAGCTTGACTCTACAGGTGGAGGGAGGTGACCTGCTTCTTGCAAGTACTCAAAAGACAATGGACAGCTTTGTAGTTCGAGAAGTCAAAGAAAGGTATGCCTTACTAACCTGGCAAGCAAGCCGTAACGTCCCTACTGCACATTTATCATGGGTGTCCAATGGCAGTCTGGATGCCCATCATAGGCACAGCACTCGAATTCTAGCTGGCACCAGGAAATTCAACCTAACCCATCTGCAACCAGGCACTCATTACAAAGTTTGTCTACACATGGGGCCAAATGACACCTCGTGTGTCCGTCTAAGGACCAAGGACGTGTCCATGCCAGATCCTTTACCAGACCTGACCCCAGCAGTCCTGCTGGCAGTTTCAGCTCTGCTCCTTTTATTTGCGGCCAGAGCATGTCATGGGGGAGCCTCATTCGGTTGGAAAGACCACATGCCGGAGCTTGAGAAACCCCACACCACCATTCTGACCCAGGAGGCGAAGGCTTTCATGACTCCTCCAATACTAGTAAAGTACCTGAATCAGCAGGATCCAGACAAAGTCCTATCAGACGGCAGAGGGAAAGACCTCAGAAATGCTTCACTGGGGCAAGATGCTCGGGGGCTATCAAAAGAGGCATGCTGAGCAGAATAAAGAGTTCAAGAAGGATGGACAAGAAAAAAAATCCCTGGAGTATAAATTTCACAAAGCTCACTTTACCGATCTGACAGTCAAAACTACTGAACGTCTGAAACATACAAAACTAGACATTTAAGTGGCAGACCCGCTTCACATAACAGCGACCTGGTTTCAAAGTATAGCATAAAAAAAAAAAATGATGTTTGTATTTATTTTGTAACAAAAAAAAGATACATCAAATATATGTATATTAAAAGCATTTGTTCATATATCCACATACAGTATATCAAACTAGGACACTAAACTTGTCCTGCAAATCATAAATAACAGTTCATATAGAGTCAGTTTATATGCAACCTCCCAACTTTACGAGTCTGTGTCACAACAGGCCAAATGGTTGTAGAAAGATAAGCACTTATATATTTTTATTACTGAAGAAGAGACTGACTTGACACAGGAAAGCAAAGAACACAAATATCAAGGAAGACTCTAAAGAACTCAAGACGACAGAATTGAAGTCTTCTGAAAGGCATTTTGCAGGCTGTGGGCAACAATTAACTTTTTGTTTTTGTGGTGAAAAACCAAACTGACTATCTCAAAGCAGGCATTATGAAAAGAGCTGATATAAATGGAGGTGTCTTAAATGTTGTATAACTAATGTTGTATGTACTCTCTTTAACAGTGTGTTAAATTGTGCTTTGTACAAGGACCCCAAGAGAATGCTCCAAAGTTAAGACCATCCCAGAAAAATTGAATGTTTTTGCGCATAAAAGAAAAATATTTTTCTCCCTCAAAAATGGACCGATCTACACATCTGACAGGGGCCACAAACTTATGACCTAAAATGCTCAGAATGTTTGCCTATTTTGGTCCCCTTGTTCCTGAAATATGACAGACCCTTGCTTAGAAAAACAACTCAAGTGAACAGACGTTCTAGTCTTGATGGACGTACTGCCTAGACATGTGTCGGCCTCTTTGTGCAGACATGTCAAACAAGAAGAGAGGGTCATGGAGAAAGCGTGTGAAACAACCCCATGATGCTATCCTTTCCAGCAAAGACGGCAAACATTTGGTGACAGGAAAGAGGTTCACGTCTACATGCACACTGTTTTGTACAAAGCAAGCACGTCAGAGCTCCCATCTCTTTCAGTACTGATGAAAAGTGCGGGTCCTGTCGGGCTGCTAATGGGACATACTTCATGGAAAGATAGTGCCAACTCTTCTTTCTGTAAAAAGAGAAAAAAAATGGTCTTTTTCTTAAACAGTTTGTCAGGTGACTATTCAGTCCACAGCACATAAGCTCTGCTCTGACTACTGGACTGCAACAGAGAGAGAGACATACCCAGTGAAAGAGGGGTCAGAGGGCACCGGTGTGCCCCTCTTTTATCCAGGAAAGGAAATAAAGCAGCATTGGGGATTGTGAACTGTTCTCTTATATTCTCAACTATGGAGAAATCCATTTTTTTACAGGCTGTCATTTTACAGTAATTTGTTTGCTTTTTTTTTTCTTCAAGTTTGTGGTTGATGTGTCCTCCTGTTTCAGTGACTCTCTCTCTTCAACTTGACTGTCTTGTCCTCAAATTGTTTTTCTATCATTATTGTTTGTTGCTCATTGGTCTTTTCCCCACCCCAAAGCTGTACATAAATCAATCTGAATTTCCTATTCAACATACTACTTTCTGAAATAATTTAGATGACTGTGTGTTCAATTATATTTTGAGCTATTATTAAAACATTTTGGACTGATCTCAAGGTTTGATCGATTGCAGGACACCAAGTGTGTTTACATGCACTTAAAAAAATTGATTTCAGTCAGTCTAAAGCAATAATTCATCTTATTTTAAAATGTCATAAACATTTTCTAAATGAAAAAGTACCAGTCTGGTTTTTGCAAAATCTCAAGACAACACGATTTGCCCAGCATGTATACACCTTAATCAGACTACAAATTAGCCTCAGCATTTTGCGCTTATTTCAAAACACAGTGAGCGATAAGCATTTAATCTCTCAAACGCATTGTGGACAATTTTTCACTGTGCATGTAAACATTCTTAATGGTATGGACGTCATATATCACCCACAATGCATATAAACTTTAATTCATGCTCTTTCTTAATCGGAGTCTTGAGTTATGTTTCCTTCTTTTGTTATGCTATTGGTCCAAAAGGGGTATAATTTAATAGAACTGCCTTAGAGTTAACTGGAGCAACATATCCTCCAATTATAATGAAAATAAATATTCATTTTTTTTAAATGGAATCACCACAACGAGTTACTCCGGTTTCTAGAGATTTGAAAAACAGCCCTCGGCTTCTTAAATTTGCTGAGAAAAGAGCCTCAGGCTGGCGATGCTCTTCCTGTCAGCAGCAAATGGTATATCCATCCCCCAGTACTCCCCCTCCAGTGCCCTCCCCTACATACTTCACAATTACCGCAAAGAGCCTGTTGTCTAAAAACAGTAACTATGAGAGAGTGATTGATGCCTGAAAAAAAAAAAAAGAGAGAGAGAGAGACACGTATGTTTGGCAGGGGGTAGTGAATTGAAGGCAACATAATAGCGTTATGCTTCTCCACAGAAATCATACAGAATTGTGAACGACTGTAATTGCACATTACAGTTATTTTAAGGAGTATTGAAAGTGGGATGGCAGGGTTCTGTTTCATAACACTTAATGCCATCCTTCACACTCAAGTGGACCCTCTCGAATCTATCAAGCTTGGAAATGCCAAACTATAAGGCTCAATGCACCACTGAACCGTAACTTTGCCGTTTAATGGAGGGAAAAAAAAAAATTTTTACAGTGCAAGATCAAAAGAATATTACAACCAAGCAAGCTCAACTACAACACTACTGCAGCATCTATAGTCAAAATGCATAAATGGTAGGTTTGCTGAATAACGATTTAATAAATGACCTTCTCGATTCAATTTCCTGATCAATGAGAGATAGAAGTACACTTGATTTCATTGCCTCGAGCTTGAAAACGGTTTATTTGGCAAATCAAAAAACTATTCACTATTACATGACACACTAGTCACCTGATATAATGTGACATTTGACTATTATTGGCGCAATCATTAAGATTGATTTAACTTGATTTTACTGAAATAAAAATACCACACTGACAAAAGGAAATGTTCCATTTAAAGAAATATAGAGTCCCTGTGATGCACGAGCTTACAGGTTTACATTGATGAAAGATTGCCTTAATGAGGATACAGCTGCTTTATAATTGGGCATTCTGTACAAAAACTTCACAGTTGAGGAATCATTACTCACTTATTGACAAACCAGCGGGCACTGCTGGTTAAATAATCATGAAGCAGAAGCACTATAAAAGCACCCAGGCGCTGCCTGAAAATGACTGTCCATCAATCTCTGCACAGATAAAGTGGCCAACTTTGGGGAAAAAAAAAAAGTTCTTTCAACAGGATAGTTACACAAAAAAATATTAACAACAGGGTGACTTAAAGGGGTCATATGATGCGATTTAAATTTTTCCTTTCTCTTTGAAGTGTTACAAGCTCTTGGTGCATAAAGAAGATCTGTAAAGTTGCAAAGACTAAAGTCTCAAATCCAAAACCACACCTACCTAAAACGGCTCGTTCTAACGCCCCCACATGTCTACGTCACGATGTGGGAAGATTTGCATAACGCCGCCCAAATGTTCATGCAAAGAAAGGCGGCGTAACTTTTATTCTCGCTGTAGTATTGTTGCTGCTGCCATGTTGTGAAGATGCTGTGTTTCGTTGTAAAAGCGAAACTACTTTGCTTGGCCTTCCAAAAGAGGACGATATCCCTCTACCACATGGTGTAGCCATGGCAACATACTCTTTGTGTTCATTTCCTTGCCACTGTCTCTTTAAGAGAACATTCTCGTTTTTTTTTTGT